TCAGACAGCTGAAAGCACACAGCTCATTTTGTCTCCTTCTTTGCCGTTTCCCTTTTCAGTCGTCAGCCACCTGTGCAGTTGTCCATGCAGCACTTGGTGAGCAGGGCCAATTTTTAGGTTAATTTTCAGGTCCTGACACCACTTGGAAATATAAAGGCTATCTGTGCTGTCATGACAGCTGACAGTCTGCACCTCCGTTTGTCACCTTACTCATTGTTTTCATTCATGTTCTTTTACAAGTTGATGTTTAATTCCCTTCTGTGTCCTTCCTGTCAAAGCTCAGGGCTCCAGGATTGTCTCCTGTATTTGTGTCAGTTGGGTTCTCTTTTCTTTATGGAAGAGGGTTTGTGTAGTTTGTCTGCATATTCTACCATCTTACCGGAAGTCCTCTAGTTTTTCTTATATAAACAATACTACAGTGATGATTTAATACATAAGTAAATTTCTACTGTTTGAGAATATCTGTTAGGAGAAATTCCTAGAAGGAGAATTTCTGACTTATTATGGAATTTAGATTTTTAAATGTAACACACATATTCTTAAAAATGCACAACAAATTCTGTAAAATGTGAAACATTTTATTTCCTCATTCAAATAAATAAATCATTTTATCCCTCTTTCTGTGCTCACTCTTTAGGGGCAACCAAAACAGATTTGAATCCAGAAGGAAGCTGAAGCTGATAATTTGCTCTTGGCTAGTGACTTTCTTTTTACATTTAAGATGTATTGTTTTTACATTATTTTTTTCCTTTCTCTTATATTCTCAAATCCTAAAAGGGTAGATATGAAAGCTTCTGTTATGTTTTTTTTTTTAATAACAGCTTTATTGAAATATAATTTGCATACCATACAATTCACCTATTTAAAGTATACAATTCAGTGGTGTTTAGTATATCCAGATATTCGTACAACCATCACCACAATCAATTTTACATTTTCATCACCCTCAAAAAGAAACCCTCTACCCAAATATGTGATCATTTGTGTTTTTCATAATTTTGTTGGCAGACATACCTGAGAAATTAAGTGAGTAGATGATTTTCTAGGTTGGTGTGGGTATTTTGGAGGTGTTTATCTGCCTAGGGGAATTGAGGCAATTAGTTATGTAGTGGTGATAGTTTAGCAAGTTCCTAAAATAGGACCAGTCAGAAAAGTCATTTAGAATCTGAATTTCTTTCTTACGATGAAGAACACTGTCTAAAGCGGTACTGTTGTTTGATGCTGTCAGGTTGATTTTGACTCACAGCAACCCAATGTGACAGCGTAGAATTGCTCTGTAAGGTTTTCTAGGCTGTGATCTTTATGGGAACAGATTGTCAGGTCTTTCGCCCACAGAGTGTTGGGGTGAATTTGAACCACCAACTTTTGATTAGCAGTTAAGTGCTTAACCATTGCACCACCAGGGCAAGACTACATCTAACTTTTTGCTGCCGAAAGTCTACAAAATCACTGAGCTACATGCTGATGGGTCATTTTGAAGTCAACACTGATTTGGATCAGAATATATTTCTGGCTTCGTAACTTAAGTCTTTGGGAGGAAGAAGTTTATTTCACAAAATTGACTGGTTCTGTTTTGGTATGTGAAGTATTTCTTGTATTTTTCAGTTGGGTTAATTTCTCTGCTTCCTATACTTTGCCCTAAAGCACAGGTCAGAATGCTTTTATGAACTTTTGCCAGTTTTGAGTTCACCTTTACTTTCTAAATATCTGTTACACCACATCCTGAAATGCACAGTCATTTCCTGTGGTGAGAGCAGAAGTTGGTATCTCTCATACAATCATTTGGTTATCAACAAAGGGATTGATGTGTCATGTTTCCTTAAAGCCTGTTCTGGCCCAGAACTTACCCCATTTTCTAATTACAATGGAATGACCAAGTGTGCAGAGCCAGGGTTATATGAAGTTATGGCCACATTTCCTCATGTCAAAGTTCTGAAGACTTCTCAAATCAGAAACAAAAACAACCACACAAAATCTCATCTCTTTAATTGTTGTGCAGTCTTAAATATCACATATGATTCTCTTCACTGCTTGATGAGTAAGGGGGCACTGCCCTTCTTCTCTAGGGATTTGTTAATTCATAGTTGCCAACTGTATCTTAGAAGGTAAAATAGAAAAATCAGGGACCTTTTGTCAGTACTCTGTGGCGCAGACCAGCAGGAAGATAAGCCATAGCCAGTCTACCTGGGACTGTGGAAAGCAACGAAACTGTCCTTTGCTATTGGCAACCTTTTTATAGAAGGTTCAAACTCAAACTCACTGCCGTTGAGTCGGATCTGACTCATAGCGACTCCTCCTTGGGTTTCCAAGGTGGTATCACTATGAAAGTATATTGCCAAACTTTCCTTCCGAGAAGTGGCTGGTGGGTTTGAACCGCCAGCCTTCTGGTTAGCGGTCAAGTGCATTAGGACCTATGCCACCAGAGCTCCCTTATAGAAGGTTGGAGGAACTTAAAAGTTCCTTGGTAGAGTTAAGAATTTGACACTATGGGAAAAGCAAAAAAAAAATCTGGATTGTTCCTGTTTTTTTTATTTTGTTTTGTTTTGGTTTTTAATCTGAAAAAGAATGTGTTAGGATTCCTTTGGTGAAGGGGAAAAAAAAAGTAAAAGCAAATGGCATCAACATAAAAGGGTACTGACTGATATACCTAAAAATTCTCATGGGTAGAGATGCAGTGCAGTGAGGTCTGTTGTTGTTGTTATTTGCCCTCGAGTTGGTCTCGACTCATAGCGACCCCTCCTTGGGTTTCCGAGGCACTATCACTACAGAAGTAGGATTGCTCAACCTTCCTTCCAAGGAGTGGCTGGCCTTGTTGTGTAAGATTGTCAGTTTAAACAGGAGAATAATAAATCCAGATGAAAGGAGCTATTTTAATTGTCCAGCCTGAGATATGTGTTCACCCTGGAGGGAGAGAAAGTTGTTGTTAGCTCCACTCAAACCACATAGACTGAGAGTTGGGAGGGAGTTTTTCCGAAAGAAACACCAGGGTATTGTTACCAAAAGGTGAGAGTAGATGCTAGATTGCAGCCACAATGACTGTTCACTACTGAGAAGAAATCAAGAGCTAATTTAGCTTTGAAGTACGTATACCAGAATAATACGTACACAGATATAATAACTGCTCTCTGCTAAAGACTGATGAGAAAAATAGGCATAAATAATGGTAGGAGGGACTTTAGTAATAGTTTCAGAAAATCTAGATACGGATCAAAGTTGCATAAAGCAAATCCCATTTTCCCACTGATTCCCATTATAAAAAATCACAGCTAACCATATTCCTAAAAGGAAAAATACACCAGATTTCTGAGTTAAGAACAGAAGATGAAAAAGTACTTATGATAGCTACAGATCTTTAATGTGTAACAGACCTTATAATGTATCAGTGATGAAGCATCTGCCAGAATTATAGTTACCACCTTCCAGTTCACTTTTCCTTTGGGAATCTTTTAGAACTTGGAAGCTATTTTCTTTCTCTGTCTTAGTAAACAACTCATTTACCCTTTTCTTAAGACACAGACTTTTTTCCTGTGCAACTCCCCCATGGAACTTCAAGAACTTCTCCATCTTTTTTGCATAATTTAGCAAACGTGCAACTCTCATGTCTCGTTTTGCCCACAGGGAAGCTGTCAAATTCAGGCTTTGCTACAGCCTGAAACTCCCATAAGGGCAGAGCTTCTGCTTGTATCAAATTGGGGACCACATAAAGGACCAGGGATTCATGATTTAGGAGCACGTGCAGAAACTTCTTTGCTTTTTGGAAGCAAAGAAGAGGTGAGGGAGGAGGGCAGAAACGAGATTGGGAAGACAGGTGACAGTAGTGTCAGGTGTACCACCTTTATGGCTTACAGATGTGGTGAAGAGCTGAATGAAGAGAGAATGGAGTCCAGGTGACACCTAAGTCACAACCTACGAAGTAGAAAATATAATGCAGGCCTTGTTGGGTAAGATTGTCGGTTTAAACAGGAGAATGATAAATCCAGATGAAAAATGATGATGGATTTCATAAGCATTTATTATACTTTCTAACCTGAAAAAAGTCCAGCTAGAGGTTATGGACCAGGGTGGTTGAGGTAGAGGTGGGGAGAAGCAGCCTTATCCTGGATGTAGCTTGAATCCTTCCTTAGTTTCCTTTTCCTTTCCTTTCTTTCTTTCTTGCCATTCTATATATAATTCCCCTACCATCACCACCAAGTAATAGGATTTATATAGTTTTAAGGTCAGGCACTTCATCCTTGTACTGTCTTAGGGTTATACCTTTCCCTCCACCACCACCTTAGGAAGTTTGCCTAGGTCTGGGATCAGATAATGATGATGGTGTTGCAGAGTCTGTATTTAGGAGGCAGTGACGCAGGTGGAAGAAGGACTAGCAAGTCCTAGGAAGGGGGACCCAAGATCAGGATCCTCCCTTTTCTGTTGACTAGCAAATGCCACCCTAAGCTTAGGCCTCATACTGATCATGCTTGGAACACTGAAAATATTTCCTTGTGGAAATTGCTCTCATCATCAACAGTTTTATGGACAGAAATTACACTGGAATGGAGAACTGCAGCATAGGCAGAGAATAGCTCTGTGCTGTGCTTCAGGTTGATATGTTGGCAGGGATGATACCAGTCACAGAACCTAGAATCTCAGAGTCATGAACATTCCTAGATGGCATTCAATCCATTTTGTTCTCACTGTTGTATGAATCCCTATCATGATATGTAATCGTCTAGCTTTTGCTCTAATAGTCCATAATCCAGAAATCGTAGAATGTCAATGCTAGAAGTGACTTTGGAGATCATAGTGGGCTGAGACTAGATGGATCTAGGACTCTGAACTTCCAGACCTGTGTTCTTTCCACTCACTCTGTTGTCTCTCTGAATAAAGGGCAGCCCGTGGTGGTAGAGTTATAGAGGTGGATTTTTCTGTGTCTGTGTTCACCCATCACAGACTGTCTGGGTTTATCTGCCTTTCAATCCTAAGCAGTAATAAATCCTTTCTTTTTGTTTTCACCCCAGGGGTTGCCCTCCTATCAGATGCATACCCTGAGAAAATCTTGCTTGGCCTTTTGGCTCAGTATGACAGCAGTAAAGATAAGTACACGCCAGAGACCAGAATGAAAGTCGGAGAGGTTCTGATGCGAGTTGTCAGAGCATTGGGTAAGTTTTCTTATTATATTGGTCTTGAAAGGGGCTGAGGGATCAGTATAGCTTTGCAATCTAAACTTGTGCACCTGGAGGCTTGTTGTGCTAGCATGGAAACGCCAGTTTTAGGGGCTGAAACTAACTCCTCCCTATTTAAGGATTTAGTACAATGCCAGTCAAAGAGAATGGCAGCAATAGTGTCCATTTTCCTATAACTACTTTCTGTTCTACCTGCGGAGCTATTTTGGGGCCCTGATTTTCAATGAAGGTGGAGTGAGTTGTGAGCTTGCATTTGCAAGCATGAAAAGAAGACGAACGTCAGGGGAGAAAGGGATGTGCTCTTACCTAAGTGTCTGTTATGTGTCACATGGTGTGTCTGTATAATCTCAGCTAATTTTCCTATGAAAAAACTGTTGTTGGACCCATTTTATGGGAGCGCTGGTAGCATAGTGCCTAAGGCACTTGACTGCTCACCAGAAGGCTGGCGGTTCAAACCCACCAGCCACTCCTCAGAAGGAAGGTTGGGCAGTCCTACTTCCGTAGTG